TCTCACTGAGCACAATCTCAGTAATATGCTCTTTTCAGTAAGAGAAGTCTAGAGACATATCAAAACCCTCGACCCGAAAAAGCTATTGGCCCAGAAAAAAATCCTGTGGTCGTCCTTAAAAATATCAACCTAGAATTATCCCCGACCCTAGCAAAGTTATTTAACCGCTGCTTGAAGGAGGTCCTTCCTCAAGCGTGTGGGAAGCAAGCAAGGGCATACTCGTCTTCAAGAACGCGGGCGAGCGATCCTCCACCTCCCAGTATAGACCCGTTAATCTTCTCTGTATCATCAGGAAGTTTTTTGAAGCTTTAATCAGCAAGAAGGTCGTCGAGCACGTAGATAGGAACCTCTTGTGCGCCGAGCAGTATGGGTATGGATCAGCCTGATCCAATGATGCCGCGCTAATATATAGTAAAGGCATACATACTTAAAGGCCCATAACATTAAATATCTTGAAGTCCTTTGACAAGGTGTGGCACAAAGATTCGCTACAAAAGCTCTCCAGCCATGGAATTACTGGAAGGGTTTTCTCAATTATAAAATTTGCCTAACAGGTAGATCCCTGAAGGTAGTTTTTAACGGTTAGTTCTCCGAGGACCTGGTGATCGGCGCAGGCGTCTCCAGGGGTCACTCAGACCAACCCTCTTTCTGATGTAGATAAATGATCTGCCTGTTAATATACTCCGATCATTTGTAAATATATATGCCGAAGATACGACGATATACGGGCGCACCTCTAAAATTCTTGACGATCAGAGATTGGTAGCTGACCTCTTTTCTACTCTAACGCTAATTTCCCAGTGGGTATTAACTGGCTTGTTACATTCGATGCCTCAAAGACCGGACTACTTACATTCCATCCCCGCCGATTAGACCACGAATTACCGCCAGTCACGGTTAACGGTTGTCCTTTCGAGGAGGCCTCGTGCTTTGAGGGAATATTAAGCCTCAAACTCACACCCGACCATCGCTAAAGTTGTGTTATGGGGACCACCCCTTTTTTAATACAAGTGGACTCGACCAGTGTGTACTTGTACTGCTGGCGGTGAATACCGGGAGGGAGAGATACTCTGATAGAGTGAATAAGAGAGATACACTGATACAGTGATAGTGTGAGGTAACCGCTTTGTAGGAGTCACAGTTGCGAGCACGTAGACTCAGAAGGAAGTCCTACTTCGATACTGAATTTCCCAGACTATGTATATATATATATATATATATATATATATATATATATATATATATAATTTAAAGAAAATGAATTTCTTTTGTATGACCATTTTTTTTTTTTTTTTTTTTTTTTTTTTTAGGGCGAACATGTCTTCGTTTGGAAACAAGAATCGGAAAACATGTACCCAGACACATTAGATTAAATTTAGATAGTCGCGTTCGTGTTTCGCAATTAGCTCACGATTCAGCGATCGGGCAACACCTATTAGAAAATGAGTCATGCTCAAAACGTTTCACAATGGACTCGTTTTCAATTATATGCGTAGGCAGGTCCAAATATCATCTGTCTATTTTGGAAGCTATCTGCCTCAAATTATTTAAACCATCGCTTTCTAAACAAAAGGAGAATTTTTTCACGATCGCTAAATTTATTTTTTTGATATATGAGCAACTTATTTTTCTATTTTACTGCTCAGGTTGGTTCATTTAATCCATTATTTACGCATTTATTTTAATCGTAAATTTATTTTAATTTTACGTATATATATCTTCGTAAAATTTTAGACGTGTTCAACCATATCATTTTGGCGTTCTTTTCATTTCCATTGTTTGTTTGAAATCATTTTGCCAACGAAAAGACCCTGATGAAGCGTTGGCCGAAAGGTACCTAGGTCCTGCAAAAAAAAAAAAAAAAAAAAATGGTCATACAAAAGAAATTCATTTTCTTTAAATCATTATATTTGTTTTGTGGTATCAAAACATTATTCCAATATATATATATATATGTATTATTGCTACTAACCACGTTTCTGGATCTACTAACCGTATTACCAATTGTATTATTACGTCAATACATTTATTTGCTATATTTCATTCCTGCGTTTGTCATTCATTTGAGACCGGATTTCATCCCGGAATCCCCAACAAGTTGTAGGTAAAATAATCGTCTCCATGTCCCGCCCCAGTAAATACCTGACTCTTCATGCTATCCTCTTTCTATATATAAGAGCCAGATCAGGCCTTATATAGTCCCACAAAATTCACGTCCTAAATTTCCAGGGATTTCTAGAAAGATCCAAAAAATTCTAGAAGGTTTTATAAAGGTCTAGGGGGCATCAATGTTCTACTATACTTCTATACGATGTGTAAAAATTTCGTGTTGGAGTTGACATTTTCTAAAAAATAAACTGATTTAAACTCTGCTTCATTATTTTTGGACAGAATTTTATCGAATAGAGAAAATCGATTATTTTACAAACATTCAGCGAATCATAAACCTGATGTAGATATGTATTATTGTAAAATACAATAATTGCGGCAAATGGCCAATAAGTGTGGAGTGGGTGAGGCTGGTCATCACTAACTATCCTATACCCTAGCTAATTCGATTCACGACCCTGATGGACACATATTACACATGAGTTAGATGTTTATATGAATTTGGGAGAACATGATATGTAAATTTCTATATGTCAGGATAATTTCATATAATTGAATTACAAAATAAAAAAAAATTCTATGTACCGTGTTTCTACCTCTAAAAGACCTCAACAGACTAAAGTAATGTTCTTATTGATGGACTTACACACACACACACACACACACACACACACACACACACACACATATATATATATATATATATATATATATATATATATTTGGTAGATGAGGACATAGAGCCTCTATTATAAATATACGCTGAAACGCCGTAGATGTAGGGGGGGTCAAATTGTAAAGTTTTTAAACGTTAAAATTTCCTTTGTCCGACGGGTCTAGGCGCACAGCTCAGTCAATCTTCTTCGGTTTCCCGACGCTTTCAAATTTGGTTTTATTGCAGCTGGTCTTTAATATTCCACACTACGACAAAATCTCTTAAGAAAGGTGAAATGAAATAAGAATATATAAGAATTATATAAATATTAGTGTACCTGTGCCGTCAAAATTGACGTCAAGAAGTAATGTTATCAGTAATATATATTGTATTGTAAGTAATTTTCGTTTAATCCAAATTCAATTTTCTAATTTAAAATAGTTCGTTGTTAACGTTAATAACTGAACAGTGTACAATTTATAAACACCAAAGGAAAGATATCCGTATATTATCCTCATAAAGGTTACATATTTACAACCAAAATTTTGCTTACTGCAAAAGTTCCCAAAGCACAATATATTTTATCTAAACTATGGAAGATCTGAGTAATCCTTGACAATCCGTAGATTCAATCTGTAATTTGGCTCATTGCTCGTTTGAATTAGAGTAACGTATCATCAGATACTATTACCAAATTCCACAAGATATGCTCCGAATCGTAACATAAAAACTGCATTAAAACTATCTAATTATTTAAAACTATCTAATTATTTATTTGTATAAGATTTTAATTCATATCCTAAATAATATAAATGAATGATGTGGTGTGAATAAAAAAGGACATTTTCGATGACTCAAGAATTATTACAAGAATTGTTTCCCCATTGTTTAATCATAATTTTTAAAATTTAAAATCAATTTCTAAAAAGGAACAAAGCATTCTTGAAGATATATGTGGTGTATTATATCAGTACGCATGGGGGACCTCGAGGTGGTGTAATGGTTAGCAAGTTAGTCTCGCTTGAACTATTACGAAGGAGTAGTGAGTTCGATCCTCACTGGGTGCCCCTTACTTTCGGCTTTGTACCACATCCGAACTACGCTTGGAAAATCCCTATATCAGCACGCATCAACGGGACCAAATTAGCACATTATCGTTATTTTACACACTGTTACACATGCAGTTATGTGCCATGCATGACACACGAGGCAGATTTTTTTTCCAGTGCTAGGTTGCCATTTCTTTCTTTGCCATAGTTGGGGGAGAAGAAGAGGATTCAGATGGTATTAGCACGTAAGTGAAAGTAATGGATTCGAACTCGGCTCTCCGATTCCTTAATCCGAGCCGCTATCCATTACTCCACTGTGCCTCCTAACACACACAAGAACGTAAATATATATATGTGGCGTATTATATATATAGAATAGTATACATGTTTACTGATATATCAATATATATATATATATATATACTAAAATTTAAAAAAAATTCAGATTGCTATACAAGTGTTAAATAAAAGTTCATAGGCTGACCAAAATATAATGCCGACCAGCTGTTGTATTCTGGAACACTTGTATGTCTTTTAGTGTACCAACTGGTGTGTCTAAATAAATTTATATCTTGGTTAGCTTATGAACTTTTCACCCGAGCCTCGTAAAATAATTTCTATTTCCCCCTCTCTTGAAATCTGTAATTTTATCATACTCTTTGTTAAGTGATAATCAACTCAATTTTGAACCATATATATTGCATACACCTACCCGAGATTCTTATCACTAAGCTGTCTTTCCCGCCGTTCACTGCATTTAAATTCAAAACCCATGAAAAACTAGACAGGGCGTTAAAGCCGTCATTAATACAAATAAGAGTTCAACAAAAAGAACAAGGATTCCACATTATTGATCACGCGATCGATCATTTTGCCTGTCTGTCTGTTTGTCAAATTCTTGATCGATTAGGGTCGCTAAGTGAGAACTGTTAAGCCATTGTTCACTTATCTTATTGATTGGCTTCGATTTCTCTCGTGTCGGAATGAGATGATCGCTGCTTGCTAATGGGATTTTGCTTCTTGGACGTAATCTAACGGTAGATATGGCCAGTTGACGGGCGGGGTAGGTGTGAGTGACTGTTGGTGAAGACATTGGCAATTGCTTTGTTGTACGTGATTATTTCAAGAAGAACTGATTGCCTAGAAATTTCAATGAAAAAGCGGAAGAACACAAGAATGGAAAACGGTTAGTGCAAAACAGAAACGGTAAGGGAGACAACGAGCGAAGAAAGAAAAATAGGATAAAGAGATAGTTGCGTAAGAATATGGAGGTGGGGAAGAAAAGTAAAACTAATTAAAATATAAGAAATAAGTGAAGAATTGGTGTAAGACTATGGGGTAAAAAGAAAAAAAAATCTTCGATTGATTTGCTTTTTATGGCTTCCCAATCTCTTGCTGAATATTTAAAGTCAGAAAGTATTTTAGATGGTAAGAATGATTTCTTGATATTAGTGCTAATAATTAGATTGTCCCCATCTTTGTCGCCATATTTATTACAACGTTTCGGTCGTTGTAAGCTCCGGTCGTCTTCAGGTAGTTGGAATGTCGAACTGAACCTTTTATTTCATCCATTAAACATTTATTTAACATCCATGAAACATGGCACGTGGAACTAGAACTGTCTACCCCAGTGAGCGAAATAAAGGGTTCAGTTCGACATTCCAACCGCCTGAAGAAGGCCGGAGCGTACAACGGCCGAAACGTTGTAATAAATATGGCGACAAAGATGAGGACAATAGTCCAAATAATGTAAATAGTGTACATAATACTTAATTTCAGAAATATAGACAGATCCTAATAATTAAGCGATAACCGAGGGAGCTGGTGGGGGAAGGGATGGATTCATACCTTGCACAAAGGTATTTGTCCGTAAGCAAATGTAACGAACTCGATTAGAATTAGAACTCGGCTCTCTGACTTCTAATTGGGAGACATTATCAATTACACTTCCCGAACATCCAAGTTCACATCATCTGATATTCCCAGACGGGTCATCCATCTAGGCACCGACCAGGCTCGCCGGTGCTTAACTTGGGTGATCGTACGAGAACCGATGTTTTTAAGCCAAAAGGAAACAGGAATTAAATATAAGAAAATATGAAGAGAAGAATAAGAAAGCTAATGTGAGGAGAAATCCAGAGAAGAGAGATTTTGGAGCCCCCCCCCCAAAAAAAAAGAAAGAAAAGAATAGTAGCTGCTAGCCCGGGTGTCACCTTGCGCGATGGCAAGAGGGCTCCGGATCGAGTAGAACCTCTATGTCAAGTACAAATCCTCTCTCATCACAGAACATTTTCTCGGACAAACAATATGGCTTTCGTTTCTCTAGGTCAACTGATAAGTGTGGAAAGAGTCTATCATGCTCTAGATCTAAAAAAAACAAAAAAAAAACAGTAAATCTCGGGCTGTAGCAATGGGTATCTCGAAAGCCTTTGACAGGTATTCAGGTATTTTATACAAGCTAAAAGGTTACGGTATCTCTGGCCACATTTTTGAGCTGATCCAGTCTTTCATGTGTCATCGTGAAATGAAAGTTATTCTGAACTGCCACTTGTCTAGATCCCATCGTACTAACGCGGGTGTCTCCTAGAAATCCATCCTTGGTCCTACGATGTTCTTATTCATTAACAATCTTCCCGATGATTTCAGCTTTCAAATTGGCTGACGACACTATCATTTATTCCTGCCTAGATAGTAAGCCTGAACAGTCCGACAAGCTCAAAATGGCAGCTGATGTCCAAAACGACTTCAAGACCGTCATTATCTGGGGCAAAAGATGATTTTTTTAATTTTAATGCCTCCCAAACCAAACTTCTCTCTATTAATCATCTAAGAGACCAATTTCTGCCTTCCATTAGCATGGCTGATGCTATCCTCCAGGAAAGTGACTCATTTTCTCTACTCTATATTCAATCTATTGCTGATACAAAAGTTGGTTCACTGTGTCGAGCGTGACAATTTTTCTCTCTCATCTATAAGCCTACAATTCGCCCATGCATAGAATATTGATGGCATATATAGTCCGGTGTCTCTGCTATTTACCTGGAGTTCCTTGATAAAATCCTAATAAGAATCAACAATATTATTGGTTCTGATCTATTGGCTCGGCTTTAGTCGTTTTTCCACCGCAGTAAGGTTGCCTCTCTGTGCCTTTTTTTTTTTTAAATAAATACTTTCATGGTAATTATTCGGGTAAGCTGTTCACTATAGTACATATGGGGACTAGTTAAGACTTCATGGAGATTCTGAGGTATTATGGTGGATGAGCTAAGAATGGTAAGTAAGAATGTGTTGTTTTGGTGTAAGGAATATTGTTGTATGTTTGGGTCAGTGTTTGTGGCTAGCTAACTTCAACGTTAAGACAGAACAAGACCGTCCTTTTCTCCATTCCCCATTTTGACCTTGTGCCACATTTCTGTACATAGCAGAATAAATATCGCTCTTTGCTATGGTACCTAGACTGTCTGAATTTAAACGCAGTATTAGAGTGGCAACGAGATCTCATCAATTTAGAGATGGGCTGGCTAGATGTAGCCGTAAGTTCTATGCTAACAGTTTCTTTTCTCGCACTTCTTGGTTGTGGAACGTCCTTCCGACTCCATGCTCACCAGTCGAATTTAACCTGAAAAAATTTCACTGTAATGTCAATCGCTATCTACTATCCTTCTGATTACTCTTTCCTCTTCTCGC